TGATAAAAGTCTGTTGTAATAACTTGAAGTTGACGCGCTAGTGTAAAGTGGCCGACTCGCTTGGGTGGCCGACTCGCTTGTGAACCACGTTAGCTTATTTACTACAATACATAAGCATTCTATTATAGCTACTGCGATACTGGTAGGGTAGGTGGGGAATATTGCGAGCAGCGAGATTGAGTTTAGCAGAGCGATGCAGCTACTATGCAACTACTCCCTAGCGGAGCAGGTGCAAGATGTTAGGAGCTACGCAGCACATCCAGTAGTACATAAGTGGGCACATCACTCGCAAGGCAAACGCTTCGCAACAGAGCTAAGTCAACTAGCAGTGGTTGCTGTTAGTCAGGCTGTGCCGGAGAGCGAAACCCAAGACTCCTTCGCCCTACAACGGCGACTTCTTCCACACGCGCAGGCTTACTCTAGCCAGATAGTCAAGAGCGAGACAGTTTGGCGTGGGAGGGCTAAGGGCGATAACGATGGAGACATCCATAGAGAGAAAGAGCAAAAGACTCTTCTCGATACTATGCATCTCCTAGGCCTTCTCTATGCGAAACAAGGCAAGCTAAGCGAAGCAGAGCAAATGTACGAGCGAGCACTGCGAGGAAAAGAGGAGAAATTAGGCCCGAAGCACTTATCAACATTGGCCACGGTACGCAACATTAGTATGCTCTTTAAAGAGCAAGGCAGATTTATAGAGGCTAAGCAGATGTTAAAGCGGGCCCTGGAAAAGTATAAGGTCTTGGAACCTAGGAACTTATTAACATTTAAAACAGTGGCCAACCTAGGCCTTTTATATAAAGAATATAGTAGACTTACAGACGCAGAGCGGATGTACATAGAAGCACTACAAGGATTTAAACAGGTACTAGGATTCAACCACAAAACGACACTACGAACAGCCAACAATCTAGGCATTCTCTACAAGATCCAAGGCAGGCTAGCAGATGCAGAATGGATACTCAAACAGGTGCTAAAGAGAAAGGAAGATGCTCTAGGATCTAAGCACCTATCAACACTCCAAACAATTGATAGCCTTAGTGTCGTCTACATAAACCAAGGCAATTTAACGAAGGCAGAAGAGCTTTACGAAAAGGCGCTTAATAGGAAAGAGAAGGTCTTAGGATCTAAGCATCATTTGGCGTTACAGACTGTCGGCAATCTAGGCAATCTCTATCATTGTCAAGGTAGGCTGGTAGATGCAGAGAAGATGTTAGAGCGCGCGCTGCAAGGGTACAAGGATGCTCTCAGTCACAAGCATCCGTTAACACTAAATACAATTAACAATCTTGACGTTCTCTACAAGGACCAAGGCAAGCTAGCAGAGTCCAAGATACTGTTAGACCAAGCATTGCATTAGAGAAAAGAGGTGTTCGGTTCCAAACACACATCGACAATTGAGATAATCAACAACCTAGGAATTCTATACGTAGAACAAGGCAAGCTAGTAGAGGCAGAGAGGATATACAAGCAGGCGCTACGAGGATATGAAGAGAAACTTGGGCCTAGCCACTACTCAACACTAGGCACGGTCAACAACCTGGGCCTTCTCTACGCGGACCAAGGCAAGCTGGTCGAGGCAGAGCAGATGTACGAGCGGGCGCTGCGAGGATACAAGGCACTTAATAGTATTCGCGTCCAGCGGTATCTGCCAGCACTCAAAACCTTAGAGAACATAGGCGATCTCTATGCGAGGCAAGCAGAGATCGTTAAAGCTCGAGCAGTATACGCAAGAGCTCTTTCTAGCTTAACTAGTGTGTTTAGTCAGTCTAGCGAGAGGTGCATGAGCTTAGCCGCGAAGATAGACGCTTTGCCGCCTGCTAGTCAAGAGAAGGAATCGCAGCCAAGGCTCTTAACAGTAGGAGAGAGGTATAGAATACACCATAACGGAAGAAAGAAGAGCTCTAGGTTGTTAGTATAGAGACTTGTCAAAAAGATATCTTGATAGCGCACTTCTATTTGTTATATATGTTACACGGGGTTCGGATCTATACTTCTCTGTCCTGGTCCGCACTAAGGCAGGCGAGTATTACGCTAGTGTTCCGTGAGAGTTTGTCTGGCGATGCAGTGGAGTGGTGT